TATTGACTTTTTCCTTCCCAAACTTCTGTTTGCAGGAGTTACAACCTAAATACTTTCATTTTGAAGTTAAATTCAAAGTTGTCAGTGAGGCTTTTGTTCTGCCCCTTTTAATTCTAGGCTAGTAAATACTGGGCTAAGAGATAAAAATTTGCGTTAATATGAAAAGTAATAAGTTCAGTAGTATCTTTTCAGAAATATTTTAATGTAATGCTATTATTTATACAATATTGTTATTCCAAGTACATTCTACAAGTAATTTACTATAATGAAACTTTCAATCTGAGTGTTGTGAATGAGTTCTGAGCAGTCATGTTTTTCTGTTCGGATTAGGGTTAAGTGGTAGACTATAACTTTTATTTATATTTGATGGAATTTACCCCCCAAATTATTTTTCATTTATTTCACTTTTATTTTTCTATTTCTTAACATATTTTCATCTAAGTTTCATCTATTTTATTTGTTAATTTTTATTTTGACATAATTTCAGATTTACAGAAAAGTTGAAAGAATAATACAAAGACCCCTACTTATCACACAGATTCTCCATATGTTAACATGTTACCACATTTGCTTTATCTCTATACATATGCATATACTCACATCCATTTATTTGTTTTTCTGAACCATTTGAAGGTTATAGACATAATAACCCTTTACCCCTAAATATTTCATTGTGTTTCCTAAAAACAAGGACATTCTTTTAAATAATCACAGTACCAATTACCAAAATCAGGAAATTGACAATATAAACAAACTGCAGTACAGTCATACAATGATACTGCTTGACAATATAAAGAACTACTGATATATGTGACAGAATAAATGAATCTCAAATATGTTATGCTAAGTGAAAAAAGAGAGCCTCAAAAAATTACATACTGTATGATTCTATTTTATGACATTTTGGAAAAGACAAAATTATTGAGACCAAAAATAAATCAGTGATCACTGGTTATTGGGGAAAGAGATTGTCCATATAAAGGGGCAGTGCAGAGGAATTTGGGGAGTGATGGAATTGCTTTATATATTGAGTGTGGTGGTAGTTACACAACTGTATGCTTTTGTCAAAACTCATAGAACTATACACCAAAAGTGTGAATTTTTCTGTGTGTAAAATTTTAAAGTGGGAAAACAATCAGGAAATTAACATTGATACAGTGTTATTAGCTCATCTAGAGACTTTATTCAAAATTTTCCAGTTGTTCCAATAATGTCCTTTGTATCATTATGTCATAATACCCATTCAGTAGTTATCCATCAAAATCAAATAAAAGAGAGGGTCAAATATCATATAAAAGAGAAAGAAAATTGTGGAATGGGCTAGATATTACTCATCCTTTTAAGCTCAGGTCACTATTTTTCACTATTTAATTCAGTGTAGAGGAGTTTACTATTAATTTTGTTTCAGCCTCCCCAAATAATCTCAGGTAACAAGTTGCATTCAGTTGTCATGTCTTTTTAGTTTCCTTTAACATGAAACAGTTCCTTAGCCTTTCTTTGTATTTTATGACCTTGACATTCTTTGTTTAGCACAGACTAGTAATTGTATAGGATGACCCTCAATTTGGTTTAGTCTGATGTTTTCTCATGATCAGATTGAGGTTATGTTTTGGGAGGGCAAGTTTACCTCAGAAGTCATAATGTTAAACTGGTGTCTGTCAGATTACTCCACTGTGAGGTTACTGTTTTTCTTTTTGTAATTATTAAGTATCGTATGGAGAAAAATTTTGGGTGGAGAAGGGAAAGGCACTCTATAGCTCTGAGTTTTGGTCTCAGGCAGTAATCATCTTTTAAGTTCCTTCACTTTTCATACCTTAGATGTTTTCATAACACTCACTCCCCATCTAAAACAGATAAAATAGAGGATCAGAAGGAAGAAAATTGTGGATATGGGCTAGATAGTTACTACTCATCCTGTTAGGGTTCAGATCACTATTTTTCACTATCTAATTTAATATAGATAGTTTACCATCAATTTTTTTTTCATCCCAAGCACCTGTAGAATAAAAATGTGATTTATAATATCTTTAGCATAACAAACTTCCACTATAAAGTAATTAGGCTTCTAAGTTTATTATAATGATATTTTAACAAAACATAATTAATTTGAAATACAGGACCTTACATTGAGCTAAACAGGTTTAGATAATCTAAAATGGGATTTTATTTAAAGGAGGGCAGAACTTCGTAGTCTGGGAATAGTTACTTGCAATTATAAGTTTATAAAATACTGGCTTAATTGAATACAGTTATAAGTGAATATTGGCTTAAGTTTTTATTGTATACGACACTTAATGTTAGTGTTTAAAACATCGATCTATACTTAAAAAAAAAAATTAAGTACAAGTAAACCTCAGAGATATTGCGGGTTTGGTTCCAGGCCATCGCAAAAAAATGAGTACAGGCACACCTCAGACGTGTTGTGAGTTTGGTTCCAGACCACTGTAATAAACAAGTATCACAATAAAGTGAGTACTACTCTTTTTGCTGGTGGGGAGGGTCTTGCCTTCGGTTTGTAAAAAACACAACATCTGTGAAGTACAATAAAACTAGGTATGTCTTTATACAAATTGACTCTTGCCATCCTTTGATTCTCTTATAATGGCATGTATTGCTAGTTTCCTTATTTGGAATGCTTTATAGTCATTAACTATATCTCTTCCTCATTTTTTGGTAGATAGTCTGCATTCTTTTTTTCAAAATGGAAAAGAGCAGTTAGAACCCTTAAGTTATTGAGTCTCTGTCCCTTGCTTGTACTATAGCATGTTTTTTTTTTCTTTGTCTTAATTTTAGGGACCTTTACCTTAAAATGATCATCACAAATGTAAAATATCAAATTAAACTTCATAAGAAATTTCTGCTCAAAAGGAACACCTTAGTTCCAACAGAGTACAAAGGAAAGTACTGGCCTTTCAAGTCATCTAAAGGTGAAAGATGAAGCACACAGGTGTTAGCCACAGAGGTTCAAGGGGTTAAAATAACTATATATATGCTATTTATCCTTTAATATCTTTTAAAATATATTTGATAGAAACCAAAAAAGTATAACTAATATCTAAGTTTAAACACAGTTATGGTACTATACTGTACTAATGATTTTATATGAAAATTTTCCGATAAACTAATATGTAGGAAAGAATTTCTGGATCTAAATATAAAGTAACTCCCCAATTAGAATAAGATGAATATATGTAATATAGCGAGTATATCAACTGTAAATTTTAAAATAGTAACATTACAAATGTAGTTGTGGAAAATAGAACCCAAATAATATATATTTGGATTTTCTGTATTTTGCCTTGCAAATAGTGATTTACATGTGTTGATTACCAATTTTTTTCAATTATTTTTTATTGTAGTAAAATGCACAGAACGTAAAATTTACCATCTTAACCATTTTTAAGTGTACAGTTCAGTGGTGTTAAATACATTGGTAATGTCATACAGCCATCAACCCCGTCATTTCCATAACTCTTTTCATCTTGTAAAATTGAAACTCTGCACCCATTAAACAATAACGCCCCATACCCCCCTTCTCCCATTGTCTGGCAATCACCATTCTACTTTCTCTATGATTTTGACTATTCTAAGTATCTCATATAAGTCCAGTCATTCAGTATTTGTCTTGCTGTGAATGGCTTATTTCACTTAGTATAATGACCTCCAGTTTTATCTATGTTGTAATATATGTCAGAATCTCCTTTTTTAAGGCCAAATACTATTCTATTGTGTGTGTATACTACATTTTGCTTATCCCTTCATCTATCAGTGGATACTTCGATTACTCCATGTTTTAGCTGTTATGAATAATGCTGCTATGAACATGGATGTAGAAATATCACTTTGAGACTCTGCTTTCAGTTCTTTGGGGGTAGATACTCAGAAGTGCAGTTGTTGGATTATGTGGTAATTCTATTTTTAATTTTTTGAGGAACCACCATATTGTCTTCCATAACAGTACATTTCCAAAAATGTACAATTTTACATTCCCAACAACAGTGCACAGGAGTTCCAGTTTCTCAATACCTATTATTTTCTGTTGTTTTTTCTTTTTTGATAGTAGTCTTCTTCATAAATATGAGATGGTATTTCCTTGTAGTTTTGATTGGTATTTCCAAAATAATTAGTGATGTTGAACATCTTTTCATGTGCTTTTTGGCCGTTTGTAAATCTTCTTTAGGGAAATGTCTGTTCAAGTCCTTTGCCTATTTTTGAATTGGTTCGTTGAGTTTTACAATTTTTCTATATATTCTGGATATTAATCCTTTATCAGATATATAGTTTGCAAGTATTTTCTCCCATTCTGTGGGTTGTCTTTTTATTCTGTCAATGTTTAGAACTCTGAACATGCTTTCAGTTGGACTGTTGTGTTTTTCCCCCCTTTTAAGTATTTAAAAATCTCATTGACATTTTAGGGTCCTCTAGCTGCTGTTTGAAGTGATAGTGGCAAGAATGGACTCCAATCCTAAACCGCTGACTAAATGTTGTTTAGAGCTAAGTACTATGCTATTTTTAATAAAGAAGAAAATCAAATCTGAGAGGAGGAAGAGAAGAAGAACTCTTTTTTTAAGATCCAGACTTTGAGAACTTATACTGGCCAAACATTTACTGTAGTTTAAAACTATTTACAATCATAGGTAATCATCATGGTTTAAGTTGTTATCAGCTAAGCATAGACTGGAGCTTTCTTATACCCAGTGTCAATCTGAATTTTCAAAAAGCAATAAACCAGACTTCTAATGAATATGATCTGCTAGGCAGTGCTTAAATATAGATGAAATACTTTCCACCTAGACCCCTACATACATTTATTTATATACATGGGCATATGTTTTCCTTTACGTAAGTGTATGTCTGTATGTATATAAATCTTCAAATGAATAAATGCATAAATATACATGGTATTCTAGCTTACAGAATTAGAAATGTAATTCAGTTTACTCCCACAGAATAAGATTGAAGATAATGAGAACTGAATTAAAGCTTACTTTCTTTCACAGAATTCCTCAGAGAGAGAAGACTGTAATAATGGCGAACCCCCTAGGAAGATAATACCAGAGAAGAATTCACTTAGACAGGTATGAAATTCAGTCTTACTTAAAATAAAAGGCTACCCAACAACAAAACAAAAGACAGGAAACCCTCAATTTGCCATTCGTTAAGCATTGGAGCTTAAATTTAGATGACTCTGAAGTTCGCCTGCCAATAGCCATCAGTTTGAATCAGGTAACATTGTTTTCTCAATTATTTAAAAATTTTGTAGGTGTGCAAGAACAGGACAGTCAGTTGCTTACAGATAGTGAAAACAAAATCAAAGAAAAGGTTTCTTGTTTATGGAAAATAACTTGAAATGCTTCTTAAGTGCAGATGGTAGAATAGTTGACTTTAAACCTTATTTTCTTAAGATTCTCCTTACATTAAAAAAATTAATAATCAAAAGGGATCTGCCTGTAGTGAAGTTAGCCCTTTTTAGTCTAAGCAATATTTGTTTGCTTTTTCTAGAAGTAAAGGCCATTATTAATGACAACTTAAAAAAATTTTTTTTTACTCATCACTGTCCCCACACTCTCCAAAGATAACACATTTTACTTTGAAAGTTCAATTCCATGGTGCTTTCTTTTTAAAAATTAAAATGTCCAAACTCATTAAATCAAGAAATTTGCTCTTCTTACTGCCTATTCCATCTCCCACTGTCAACAAAAACAAGTTCTTATTTGTTGCCAGAGGATAGGTATACCACCTATTCATTTTAAATACAAAATTGGATAAGATGAGCACCAGCAGTAGTTAAAATAATTTTAATTTACTTGCATTTATGGCATTATTCTAGGAAAAAGGAGCTCTAATATTTGTTGAGCACCCTCCATGAATCTGATACTTATTTAATCCTGACAGCAACCCTGTAAAGTTGCTAGATACAATTTCCAAAGATAAAGAAAATAGAGGCTTAGAGTGGTGAGCTAGTCAATGATTTGAAACCCAGATCTCAATATCGCCAGTGTTTCTACTCTGCCTTCTGACTCCAGTTTCTATACAGTGTTAATTTAGGGGGGAAGTACTTGCAACTGTGAGACACTTATTTTTTATTTGCTATATCTTAAAATTTTTTTAGATGGGCACATTTTTGTTTTTTATAAAAATAATTAGTAAGTAAAATTGAATCAGTTTGGGAAGCTTTGTAAAAAAAACAAAACAAAACAAATGATCAGTATTTGATATTGTGCAGTTTACAACTTTAACTATTTGGAGACAAACACCTGATCTGCAAATGTAAATAAATAGAACAGTATTGAATAAGATAAATTTGGAGGTGGAAACACTCTGCCCACTATACAGAAACAACTGTCAGAAAACAATGACACCACAAAAAGTTTTGGCAACTTTATTTAAGCTAACAAACGAATTTTCACTCTGCAAAGTTATAAATTAATTTTAATAGGCTGATCCAGATGGTCCATTTGGAAAATGGATAGGCTGATCTGTTGAAAATTAAACTAAATTTATCTCTCTCATACTTCAAACTGAAGCAAGAGAGAGAATCGTGCCTATTAAGTCCAGCACATACAGATGGACCAGCAGGTCACACATGGGACTAATCTGATTCATTTTAAAAATAAATGCATACATTATTGAATCATTTTCTACTTGCAAGATCTGTTGTGTGCAGTATTTGAAAGAAATTTTTTTTTCATTGCTTTTTAGTAGGTTCGTTTCATCTCCTCCACTTTAATATAACCATTTTTGTTTTTGTTTTTGTTTTCCTCTTAGTGCTCCAAAATGATTTTTCTGATATCTGTCAGTATTGAGATCCAAGCTCTGGAGATTAATTAGGTCAAGAGGCTTTCCCCCCTCCTTTCTTTGTAAAGGGTTTTTATCTCCATTCTCTTTGTGAAGAGCATGAACTCAGTGTTCTTGGAAAGAGAAATGGCCTTTAGAAACAGGGAAGTAGGAGATCCTCCTGGGGCCCTAGGAGCCTTTTAGCTTCTGGGTGTTTTAACAGCCCCATGAATGCAGATTTGTAAATTTATTGCAGTGCCATCTGGTTTTTTGCTCGAACCAGATTACTGTTGGCTTGTGTCTGTCTATTGTGGTGGTCACTCCCTAGGAGCTTGCCCTCTCAATCTTAGGGAAGAGTGATGAATAGCAGGGGTCAATAGAAGCGGGTCACAGGGCAGCTGTCCAGGACTGCCCTGAACTTGATTACCCCACCGCTGATTTTTCTAATGTAGGACATAATATATAAGCTGTTTAAATTCCCTCTTTTCTCTATTGCATATGACAATAATGAAGTGCCAGTTGCTTTTTTCCTCCCCATTTTAGTAAAGTTATGTAGATAAAAATGTGTCAAAGGCTGCCTTTTACCTGGATGTAAGTAGAATTTTTATCACATAGGCCAATCCCTTAATTTGAGATTCTTCTGCAGATATTCCCACTGAGATTTCAGGAACTCTCTCACCATTAATTTTAAAATGCTCAGTTACATTCTAACAAGTTTAGTAATATTTTAAACTAATTTTATAGTTTACATATTCTAAAGTACAGTTTTATCATTGTTGATAGGATATGACCACTGACTATGTTTTAACATGGAGAGTTAATTATTGGAGGAGCTGAAAGAAGTGTTATCACTACAATTCTTACAGACATTAAAAGGATAATGAAATATTATAAACAACTTTAATCAAAAATTTGGCAACTTAGATAAAATGGACAAATTCCTTGAAGAATACAATTTACTGAAACCAACATAAGGTGAAACAAAATTTGAATAGCCTATGTCTATGAAAGAAATTGAATTAACTATCAAAAGGCCCATATGGTTTCACTAGTGAATTCTATCAAACATTTAAGGAATAAATAACACCCATCTTATACAAATTCTTTCAGAGTAGAAAAGAACATTTCCTGGCTTGTATTATAAGGCCACCATAACCATAATTCCAAAACCTGACAAAGACATTAGCAGAAAAAGAAAATATTGAAGGAGAAAGTCAGGGACACTATTCCCGGCATCACCCAGTCATTTTGTATACCTGCTTTTTCGTTTCATTTCCAACATCAGAAGGCAGGAATGTTGAGGGGTAGGAGGGAACAATGTATCCTTTTAATTTTCTAAGTTTCAGAATAATATCACCTCTTGGCATTAAGTGAAGTGTGAACTTTTATATAAAGGATGTACAAAGTGGCTACGATTTTCTTTCTACTTTTATTCCTAAAATGTGATGCTAAGGAAACCATAGCAACTGTTTTTATATCTTTTATTCATATCTACAAACAAGGGCAAAGGCCTGGGAGGATACATGAAAGTACTCATTACTTTTTGAAAATGTAGCCTTACAACATGCAACTCCTTCTTTGCTTCACATTGGTGCTAATAGGATCTGTCAGCCCAGCCTTTCTCTGTAATTGAGTAAATTGTGACCTCTGTCTAATCCTTCCCCCATCCCCCATTCTCTTTGTGTATGTGTCCACTTACCATCCTGAGAACGTGGGCAGTGATAAATAAAGCATTGAGTAGAGTTCTCTCAATGCTTTGAAAGCAGCATGATGCCAGCCCTCTAGTTATATTTCTTTAAGTGTTTACGTTTTTCTGTATTCTTTCTCTTGTGTAGCTGGAACCCTGGGGATGCAAAGCCATGAGAGAGGCCAAGAAGCTAACAAAGTAGCTGTCTCCCTTGTTAGCTTGTTCCTTTATTCTTTAAAAACAAGATAAAAACCATCTGGCTCAGGGCATTACATTTTCCTCCCCCATGCACCTCTTAGATGGAGACTTCACCTGCAGTGAGGGTTTACATTGATTAGGGAGAGAGCAGTAATTCAAGCTTCCATCCTCTTCAAGGATACTTTGCAGTCTTTAAAGGTGCTGACCCACTGAGTTAAACTGTCAAGGGAGGATAAAAAAGTATCTTCATCCCAGGAGGTAACAGCTGCCAGGTTTTCAACACCTTGCACGCTGCTGGAAAAATGTCACAATTGTCAGCTAAAAGAAAAATGACTCTGTTGTCATCTTCTGTTAGTGACTGGGCCTTATAAAAGGAACCACATAAGCCTTTAAAAGGAATAAGTAGCTTTTTTCCTTGTCTACCATGCCCACCCTGCCATTCCTATGTTGTTCTAAACTCTACCTTGGAGTAGATCTAACAAAACAAAACAAAACAGTGGTAAAGAACTTAAAGTGAAAACAGCCCAGTATAAGCATGGATGTGATTGGCATAGTTCCTTTATACAGTTGGATGAGTAGGAGGAAAAAGCACTTCACTGACACAGAAACCGACATTATAGTGTATATTAACAACACAACAACAACAACAAAAAGTCATTCATAAGCCACTGAACTGAGAGAAAACATACTGTATTTCTGCTCTTTGGAGGACATTTGTTTTCTAGCAGCATCCAGATGGGTAAATACCATGACATTTCTTTCTTCAAGAAGTCACTATGTCTTTTCTTTCTTTAAAAACAAACGAACTCACTGATTTACTTCCTTTAATAGCTCTGCAGTGTTTGTATATGATGGCATTCCCTTCTTTCTGATTTGATTGATGAGGAGGAAAGGTTTAATGAAGTCCCTGATATCAGGCATGCAGGGTTTTTTTTCTATTTGTTTTAGGTTAGTCATTTTAATTGTATTGAGTAATTAGAAGGTACACACAGCCAAGGGAGCTTTGTTCTGATAATTGCTCAAGAAAACCCATTCTCTCTTTCTGCCGTTGCTTTGTGTTAAGACATTTCTCCCCCTAGTGGCAATAGTAAGCACTTTGACTTGGCAGTAGGCAAGGTGTAATTGCAACATGACAAACTATGCTTAAGGGACTATCTTGTAAATACTTTAGTTTGGAGTTTGGCATTATTTCATTACATACATATAAGCATGGTATCACACCTTTGCAGAGTAGCAGTTAAGAAGCACCTCCCAGATGCTAGTCAATGGATATACACAGTTACAGGGTGAGGAAGAGGTGGGAACAGGTCACAAACCCATAAAATTTGACATGAGTTTTAAGCAGTTCATACCTTTCTAGGGGACTGTGGAGCCATTAAAGACTATTATGCTAAACACTTAAAACTGCAAGGAAGA